TGTTTACTTTCAATATCTTTCGAATGAACAACGTGATTGAACCGCCTTTCTAAATTCTATAAATCAGAATGACGTCTACGGCCGAATTGGATAGCACCTGAAATGCTTGACAGCAAGATCGAAAAACCTAGAATAACATTTACAGTACGCTATTATACACAGTCATGGAAGCAAAAAGATAACATTAACATAGCCTAAAGGCCATTACAGGACGTAGAACATGCTTTTGACGTTGACGAAAAACATTAGTACTCCAAGCTTGCCAACCAAACAACACAGTACCCGCATTAAACCTTTTCGTCGTAATCGTGGCTTCTGGTTGAACCGTTGTCGAATACTGTTGGAAGGGAAATTAGCTACTCGGACGAGATTAAAGCCTGATAAATTGCTCACCCTTCTGCTCGGCCCTTGCAACATCGGCCTGTCTCTTTTCTTCTGTAATCGTTCCGAAAATGACATCCATTTCTTCCAACGACCTTCCCTTAGTTTCAGGGATGATAAGCGAGAAGACAGCCATGGCGCCGATATTGACAGTCCCAAACATGAAGAAGAATTTGAATCCAAGATGTTGCTCAATCAGGAGAGTCTGGTGAGAGACGACAAAGTCTGGAGAGGAAGGGTCAGTTAGCCGCTTCGAAAAAAAAGGAAAGTCATTACGCACTCCACAACCATTGTGACGCGCTAGCGACGGCCAGACCGTAATGTCTTGTCCTAGTGGGGAAGATGTCCGCGACATAAACCCAGGGAAGAGGACCTATGGGAAAGGTGAGTTTCACAAGCTTCACATGCGAAGGAACACCAACGTACCCCATCCCATACTGTAGAAGACAACGTAGATGTAGAGCAAGCCTGCCATTGCTCGGCTTGCAGGAGGAATGGCAGTGACGACGGACGTCGAGCTAGCAGCTGGCGGAGGGTGGGTCTTGATTACAGCGCCAATAATGAAGAACATGATGCCCATTCCCATGGCCGAAATGAAGAACGACCATCTACGACCGAGACTATCCGCTCCGAAAAATATGAATATCGAAGTTGCGACCAACTAAGATCATATAATTTAGTCATTTCAGAATAGAGGATTTTTGTAGTAATCAACGCACTTTGACGACACCGTAGATCCCAGATGCAAGAAGTGAGTTCTTGTTACCTGTGAACCCAATCGAGGCGAAAATCTGGGGCGCATAGTATCTGTAGATTTGTTAGCGATGAAAAGACAAGGTGTGAATTGTAGGCTCACGAAACAGAGTTTTGGCCACACCATTGCTGAAGCAAGAAGATGACGAATGCAATCACAAATCGAATAAGATTGCCTTTGCCAAGGAATGCTTCTTTCCAGCCTAGGTCCTTCCTAGCCTGACGTTCTTCCTCGATAGCCGCCTCAATTTCTGCAAACTCGTGGAGGAGATCAGCATCATTCAGCGAAGTCCTCCGTAAGTACGCAAGGTTGTTGAGGGCTTCCTCGGTACGGTCCACCGAAGCTAACCAACGAGGAGATTCCTATACATTCGTTGTCAGTCATGTGTATCGTGGCGTCCGTTGTTCCTTACCTTTACGGTGAACAAGCCAAATAGCATTATACCAGCAGGTACAAGCTGGAATCTGTAAGGGAATGAGCTTAGCAGCGAAAAGGACAGAAAAACTGGGATGTCCGCCACATTACATGCCCGTCAAACTCACCCAAATGGAATCCGCCAAATTCTTGGCCCATCCACTATATTAATGCTGACACCGTCTATGTCACAGTTAGAAAGTAGGTTTGAAGCAATGGACGGGAAAGACCAACAGTTGATAAAGTACGAAAGCATCACACCAGCGGCCACCATAATCTGGAAAAGACCTGTGATACGACCTCGAACGTTTTTGGGACTGCATTCGGCGACGAAAGCAGGAGCAACCTGAATGTCCATGTCAATTCTGGGGCAAAAAAAGTAGAACTCAAAAACTTACAGCACTGATACCACCAATGCCGACTCCAGAAATCACCCGACCACCATAGATCATGGCCAATCCATTAGAAGGACTGTTCGCTGCTGTGGTCAAGATCTAGTGATAGAAGTTGGAAGGGATCTTAGAAAACAACGACATAGATGACTCACTGCACCAATAGCAAAGATGAATGTGAATCCAATGAGAGTCCATTTTCGCCCGACCTTGTCTTCAAGCTGGTCAACACTAAAATAATGAATCGAGCTGGAAAGAGCAAATTCGCACTTGATATGGGCGCACTTCCGAGAGCACCAAAGAATGCACCAGCTTGGAGGACCGACACGACGTTGGAGGAGACCGCAGTCACTAAAGCTGCATTCTTTTGTCCATTGGGCCACATTCCGAAATGTTTCTGTTATTTGCGTCGATGAAAAAAACAGTCGATAATCTGAATGGTATTGAACTCACTTGGAAGTTCGCTTGACTAACGACACCTCCTGCAATACCACTGATGAAGAATAAATAAGAATGGTCGATACCATTGTATTTCTTCCACGTACGTATCATATCCGAATAGCACAATACCCCAGTAAGCAATAAAGGCCAACCCTACGATGAGAAAACGAACGAGTCAGCGATATGAACTCGGTAGAATAGGCTGTTTAACTCACAGTAAACTCGGATATTCTTGAAGATACCTTCGTTTGCCATTGTGGAGAGGTGATGTATGGGCAGCAAAAGGCAAGAAAAGTATCTTGAACCTTCGAAGTATTTAAGGCCGCCATTGAGTTAGCCGTCCAACTTATTTCCGCTAAACGGTCCGTAATACGGGCCGTTAAAAATCCGGGGCCCCACCCCCGCAACGTTTCGAATATGATCGCGATCGTGCTATCTCTTGTTCCGTGCAATCGACCCTCGACCCACTGAGATAGAAACCTTTCTCTGCATTCCCCAGCTTTATGTACCTCCATTTTCGGAAAAATTTCGCTGCACTCACGAGTCACTCCACGGAAGTAATGATGCGTACCCAATGCGAACAGCGCATTCTTTCGGGGTAAAACAACTGATCATCTTTTCCAGTTTAATGATAGAATGCCATTTAATTTTTAAGATGTATGTATTGTTTTGAGGCACCAGCTGCGGCAGGGAAAAGTCAGCAGGTCATTCTGACACTTCCTTCCTGTCACCGCGCGCGCCCTGGCACCATTTTGGGTCTAGTCAAGTACTACGGGAACCTTCACCGCATGGATCTACGGGGCCCTCTCGGATTCCTCAGAGTTCTGCAGCGGCTCCGCAAGATCCTTTCAGTTAATTATAACTTAGCTTGATACTTCCTCCTCTTCAGCAACGAAGCCTTCCTTTCTGGTGGATATCAAACAATCCCCACTTCTGACTCCGCTTACAATTTTTTGGATCTAGTCAAGTCGATCTACGCGGCCCGGGTTCCTAGCTCCAAACTTCGCAGCGGCTCCGAATTTAACTGATAAGTACTCCTCCTCAAGTTCAGCAACGAAGGGAATTGCTTGCAAATTCCTTGTCTTCAAGCTGGTTGATATCAAACAATCCCCACTTCCGAGCCCGCTTGCAATATATGCGTTTTACAAAGTATCTCGGTGACTAGACCATACCGATTACATTTCAATCATACCCGGACACCGAGAACGTCCTGCATAGTAAGCCTCGCGTTATCCTACTCTCATCTTAGTAACCTGGATGCATGAATAACATTTTCCAACAACCACGGAGCGTATGAATAATACTTATAGTATATTGCAAGTTAAATACGACCAGCTTTCTTTCTGGTTTCCCAGATTCAAGTCGCACTATGTCCGCTAAACCCGTCGTCATTATTGCTGGGATTGGTGTCGGAGGAGGAACCGGTGGTGCTACGGCTCGTGCCTTCTCCAAGGAGGGTTATAGCATTGCATTGATCGCTCGAGGTTCTGATTCCCTCAAGGCATTGGAAGACGAACTACGCGCTTCCGGAGCCGACGCTGCCTCCTTCCTTATCCCTCGTACAACAAACCGTCTTTGACGACAGCCTTTGAAGCCGTTCGTACACGATTCCCTTCTCCCGAATACATTGTTCGCGCAGCACTTTACAATGCTGTCGACCGCGTGTGGAAGCCTTTTTTCGAGGTCACTGACGAGGACATGGCCGGCGCCCTACAAACCCAGATCGAAGGGGCATGGTACTTCTCCCGCGAAGCTATTTCAGAGTTCAAGAAGAACGACATAGAGCCGATCAGTGGGAAAAGAGGTATTCTAATGTTTACCGGGGCCACTGCGAGCTTGAGAGGAAATACGTCCACAAGCATTTTCTCAGCGGGTAAGCATGCACAGAGAGGCTTGAGCCAGAGTTTGGCGAAAGAATTTGGGAAAGACAATATCCATGTGGCTCATGTACGTGGTTAACATCTGCGCTGCGGTTTGGTTCTGGTTCTAAGTGGTTGTCGGTCGAATAGGTCATCATCGACGGAGCCATTTTGACTCCGTTCTTACTCTCCAGTCGCAATGATCCCACCCTACAGACAAATGAAGACATCAGGCTCAGTCCTCAGGGAATAGCTTCTGTGGGTCTTATCCAGCGGTTCGCCTGAGTGGTACTTACAATTTTACTTCCTCCCATTCTAGACCCTTCTCTTCCTCACCAAGCAGCACCGTTCAACTTGGACCTGGGAATTGGATCGTGAGTGCTTAGAATAGTGTTTTGCAATGATTTTCTTACTGATACGACTCTAGTGCGTCCGGCTCACGAGAAATGGTGATTGGCGTCCCTATGTTAAGTAATGTAATATCTACATATACTTATAAGGTCAAAGTTTGCAAAACTTAGGGAATGGGTTTGGTCAACGCTACCATCATTAAGTTAATCCCTGAGTTCTACCTAGTTATTTTAGGTGCTCGTTGAACCAGCGTCCTGTCGATAAACATTTCGGAGTTAGCAGACACAAATGCCTCACCTCGCTCAAGAAGTCATCTTTTACCGTCATACTCTTGAATAGCTAATGGAGATATAAGGCCCTAATTTTATTAAACGCTCAAAAAGAAAAAGCAAATTAAGGGAGGTACCATGACCACCGCAGGGGTCGAACCTGCAATCTCCTGATCACTAGATCGTAGTCAGACGCGATGCCATTTCGCCAGGCGGCCATACAACACAAGTCATCTTTTTTCAATCAAGACTTCACTATAACCTCATTTGAAGAGACTATGTTACGATATTCCTATGGCTTTTCTTTCCTCGACCACTTCACCACTTCTCGTGAGCCGGTCGCACTGTAATGTATTAGTATTGGACTGCAAAATTAGGAAGTAGCTCACAATCCAATTCCCAGGTCCAGGCTGAACGTTCTTGCTTGGCAAGGTGGATGTAAGACTAAACGGGACGAAGGAATGTAAATTAGGACTAGTTAGACGTCAGATACGTTAAATATACATACCGAAGCAATAGCTTCAGGACTGAGCCTGACGTCTTCGTTCTGTTCCCATTCCGGGTTCTTGCGGTACTCTCTCGAGAGTGGAGTTGATATACCTATCAAGGAACACAAAATCATAAAAGGAACATGGTTCAAAAGTTGGATGAATCAAACCTCCGTCGATGATAGCCTGTAGCAGATTCAGGTTGAGCAACAGAAAAGCATTACAAGGATCAATACCCACATGCGCCACATGAATATTCTGCTTCCCAAATTCCTTCGCCAAACTCTGGCTTAACGCTCTCAGAGCAAACTTTCCCGCTGAAAATGCACTCGTCGTGACGTTTCCTCTGATACTCGAAGTGGCCCCAGTAAAAATCAGTACACCCCGTTTTCCAGTCGTCGGATCAATCTCATTCTTCTTGAATTCTGTTATAACTTCGTGAGCGAACGCAAAAGCGCCTTCGACGTTGACCTGGGTGACGCCTTTGATATCTTCAGGAGTAACGTCCAGGAAGGGTTTCCAGACCCCATGAGCAACATTATACACCGCAGCGCGGATGCTGTATTGCGGGGATGGATATTGAGAGCGAATATTTTCGAATGCTGATTGAATGGAGGCATATTCGTAAGATGATACCGGGAAGGTGGTAGCCTATAATAATTCAGAACCGAATTATCACAAAGAGGATGAATAACACACGTACATCAGCTCCAGAATTCTTTAATTCCTCCAGCAATGTTTCTCCGACTCTTCGTCCGATGAGTGCTATAGTGTAGCCTTCTTTGGCAAATGCACGACTAGAAACCGCTCAGTTTGGTCAAAAACAAACGCAAAAGACACCGTACGCTGCGGCTGCTCCTGTTCCTCCGCCTGCACCAATACCTAAAAGAGTACTTGTGTCAATGGATCGAACTTGAGTATCGATGGAATTTGGAGCATACCAGCAACAACAAGAACGGGCTTGGGAGTTGACATCTTCGATTTAGAGCTAATCTAAAGTTGCGATGGTTTTAAATCAAGTTCGTAACTTCGGTCGGTCAGTCAGCAAAATTCAGGTGACGCAATTGCTCAGTAAGCCAACTGAATTTTCGAGGATCGCCGACTCTGATCAAGTAGAGTGTGAGAGAGTACATGGCGAGTACCTTGACGGTTGGCGTATTCAAGTCGGATTGTGACTAGGACCCGGATTTCAGAAAGTCGCAAGAATTGCTGGTACTATTCCGCAATAGATCTGTAAGCATGTATCCCAATTCTTGAATTATTACATTAATTGCAGCCAGCACAGACGAACGATTTTTCTTCGCTCTCGGTTACTTTAATTCTGAGACGTGATTAGAATAGCAGCCAAGCAAATTAGCTGAGAGAACATTCAGAGCAGATTGAGAGTACAAACTTCCGGCCATCAAAGGTTCCCAGTAAGATACAGGGGCTACAGAGCATTCTTTAAATCACCATAAGCCAGGCGTGCCCATTATAAGTCGACGTCGAGGAGAAGGCGATGGTCCACCAGCGCTTATTTAAGTTATTTTGAAGCTATCAAGCGCCAGTTAAGTGCTTGACCCAAACCAACTCCTCGCTTCTCCAGTTGTCTCTCCAGTGTACATATGTATAAAACTATAACAGCAAATCTCGTCCGTGAAGCCCAAGTGCCACCGGCGTGATAGGATGGATGAAAAGAGGACGGGGAACATGCGCGGCATTGTGGCTATCCGCTCACATTCACTGACAATAATGATGGTTCTGATTCCGAGTCTGTATATTTTACAGCCTTTAGACATTCTCAAGCTTTATCATATCTTGCGTTGTCTCCAAATCCTTGTGCTTCCTCTACATCCACCTCTGCAATCGCCCTCAGCTCCTACTAGCTCTTAAATTTTGCCAGTGAGTACACTCAGAAAGTGCTCGGATTGTTGAGTGGGGTTAACAATGAACATAGATTCGCCAGAGACCTATAAAATGCTCCAATGTACGTTATGATCTGCGAAACCGAAAGTCAGATAAACTCATCCCAGTAGACTCTCCTGAGGATCCCTTTGGAGGACTCTTGTCCTCATCGACATCATCGGAAACACGCGTCAGTCTTTCGCAATGGCTCATATCGCAGCGGGCATCACCCTATCATATCCCAATGGATTCCCCAGACGGCCCCATCTCAGGATGGAGGTTTCACTCCTCCGCGTCGCTAGAATCAACCTCGAGTTCTACTATAAGCCCCGGTAAACTGGAACCGTTACGATACTCTCCTAGCAAGCCTTCCTATCAAAGACAACGGAACGCTTCTAGAACCCGAAGGATTGGCACCTGGTTCAAAAGCAGGTTCAACATCATGAAAAGAATTGGCAAACGCGTCGATCCTCCCATTTTTGAGATCGTTCGGCTTGAGCAAAGTTCCAATGGCCTTGAAGGCTTGATTACCGAAGTGACTGACATTATTCAATGGTATGATACCGAGAGCTTTCTGGATCCTGGAGCTCCCGATGAGTTTGTGTATGAAGCGGAGAGCCCAGGAGTTCAGGATGATGTGGTGACGGAGAAGGCAAAGACCAAGGCGCAGAAGATTCGCAGTATTACATCGGTGCTTGCGCAGCCAAGCAACTCCGTAGAAAGCCTGAGGATAGAAGAAGAAGCTGGAGCATTTGAAAAAGTTGTTCAATGGCGTGGAACGCTGGATCAATCCGATCCAGGAGTTCAGGCCGAAGAGGAGGTGGGGGAGAAAGAGAAGATGTTACACAAAGACAATCTATATCCAGTGCCACCGGTGCCGCCAATTGACCTCAGGGAAGAGGAAGGTTTGTCTATCTGTCCCCAACTGCACATTTCAATGATATTGAATACCTTACTTGATTTAGAATCATCACATACCAGTGGGATAAATGTTACCACTATTCGACGTGCTCTCAGTGGCGAAGGCTCTCAAATGGAGTACAGAGCAGGGTCAAAGAGAATACAAGATCTTCTTGGAGCAAATTTCCATTATCACGATGATGAAGCCTCGGTACATTCACTGATGGATGTCCTACAATCAGTACATGCAATGACTTCCTCGTATAAGAAAATTATATTGAGCTTGTTTCTACAGGAATTAGATTCTACTGCGGAATTGGAGGTCCTTGACCCAGATCTGAACAGAAGCGCTTATCGCAAGAGATGTTTGCAAGCCCTTCGCCATGTGTCGACTAGACACCAGATTCTGCCATCCTCGCTGATGATCCAAGATGTTAAACGAGACGGTCAAAATCCTGTCGCCGGTGGTGGCTTTGCGGTGAGTGCAATCATACGAATGTGGAGTCTCTTCTTGAACTGACATGTGCTTCCTACTAAAAGGATATATGGCGTGGAACTGTGGGAGACCAACCCGTGTGTTTGAAGGTTCTTAGACTGGTCATTGAACCAGATGAAAAAGTACGCAGTAAAATTCGCAAGGTGAGCACCGCTGTGGCTAGTAGACCAATTGAATTTTTTAATTAGCATTTAACTCATCCAGCAATTCTCCAACGAAGCGCTTTTATGGCGACAGCTCAAACATCCGAATATTCTTCCCTTACTGGGCGTCAACGCAGAACTCTTCAGCCCTTCGTTCTGCCTCATTTCTCCGTGGATGGAGAACAAAGACATCATCACGTACCTGAAAGGGAATCCTACGCACAATCGGCATAATGTGGTGAGCATCAGCTTCTTTCTTCATGAACTATTGCCTCATTAGGTTTGCAGCTTTTGGAAATCGCGGCGGGCCTGTCGTATCTTCACTCAAGGGATCCGCCCATTATCCATGCAGATATTCGAGGAGTACGTTTATACTTTTTAGCAAGCTGCCCTCGGCTAAACATGCAAATGCACGTACTATTAGGCCAATATTCTAGTCACAGATGATTTTCATTGCTGCCTTGCAGACTTTGGTTTGGCTTTGATCACTGCTGACTCTCAATCCTGGTCAACTGCAACGACGAGCACCATGAAGGGTGCAATACGTTGGATGGCGCCGGAACTGATTGTTCAAGGTCGTGGTTTATCTGTCAAATCAAGTTTACACCAGACCTCGCGAGATATCTATGCTTTCGGTTGCACCGTTGTCGAGGTAAATAAAAGTCTACCTGTCGTTTGTTCTCTACTACTTGAATGTATAGATACTGAAATGTTGCGGGCATAGATTTTGACACTGCGGCTCCCGTTCCATGAACAGAGGAACGACGCAGCTGTACTGTACAGTTTATTGAATCACGAACGGCCTACGCGACCCAAGAGCGTTTGGTGTTCAGACGCAATTTGGAAGCTCACGACTCGCTGTTGGGCAGGCCATGCTGCAGCTCGTCCTCAGGCTCGAGAAGTCTACGAGGTTCTGCAACAATCTTTATCATAGCGATAGAGCTAAGGTTGCCTTTGCTCAGTGGGATATTTGCGGACACGTGTCTATGGCAGTCAGAAAGAAAGACAGAACAGCGGCACGAGAGGGAGCATCTCATCGAAAAAATATTTACGCCTTCCGAGTTACCATTTCTCACTTGCAGAACATACTAGGCTTTCTTTTGAGTGCAGGATATCGATTGAAGCCAAAATACTCACAGTCTAGCTCCCAAGTCCAGGCGGATTTTTCCTGTGTCGCGAGGTTGAAATATGTCTAAACCCATGGGAGTCAATTCTACTCCGTAAATGCAATACTAGGGTTGCATCGTATCTCACCTTGGCGATGCTTACTGGGTTCCGTCGCTCATTATCCCTGAAAGACGACATGA